TAGTTGCTGCATCAACAATTGAATGATTGTTCTTTTCCCCTTCATCATGCTCTTCGACTTTTTGTTCATTGTTTCTTTTTCTCGGGATGAGGGCATTGCTGGCATTTGTAGCCCAACACTAATTGAGAAGGTAGTGCTGAGCTGCCTTGTTGAACTGCTGCAGTTTTCTCTCCTGCTGCAGGTACTGTGAGAAAGGGAGCTCCAGGTTCAGGATCCAGTGACAGAGAAGGGAAATGTTGGAAACATTCAGTTATTCAGGCAGAAAAACAGTGCTAATATGATTATTGCTGTCCATGAAAGGATTCCTGTGGTATAACTTCTAACTATATATTCCTGGTCACTTGCTTTGAACTAAACCGAATGTAACTTTGCTAGTCTAGTCTGGGTTGGATTTCTGCCCGTCCATCATTTCATATTTCACTGCAGAATCCAGCTAGAGCAGCTATTTATGGTGGGTTGTGAGAAAAAGGCCAAGACCTCACTGGAGAGAAGTGGCTGTATCCGCTAACTAGAAAGTCACAAGCCGACACATTTGGTATGAGGTTCAGGCAATTATTTGCTTGCAAGGGTGACCTTCCCCACCAGCTGGGTAGAATGTCCCTCTCCAAGAGCTACCAGGCAGTCAGGTTGACTGCAGAGATCACCTCATTAATCGAAGATGATTGAAGGAGAGAGGAAAGACCTATGATAACCGTGCAGACCTAGAAATAATGGTCACAGCTCAAATGGAAATAAGTACCAACATGGATTGATTGGGCCAAATGGTCTGTTTCCATGTGGTCATTTGCCTGTAGTTGCTGTCATGTTTCTGTTGATGGTGGAAGAATCCCCAACACAATCTGTATTCACAGAGCGTAACTTCAGAAATATGTTTATCTTGTAACCTTTAATCAGTCATTTGCACACACCCTACAATATCTTTGAAGTCAGTTGGAAAGAAAATTAGCTTGGGTATGGAAATGACTGTTAACTTGCTGGCACAATTTTACCTTAATGCCTAAGATCAACTTTTAACCCAATTCTTTAACCAATATTGACATTCCACTGTCCAAGGACACATTGATTCGATTCTGTCTTTGAAATCAAAACACATTGTTTCGATTCTGTCTGTAAAATCACCGCACAAGCAAAATTTTCCATTGTTTTCCTCTGTTACTTCTGCTGTTTATGACCAGATGCAGACCCACGAACTTCTTGTAATGACAGATCTGTCTGGTGTGTGGGGAGAGGATGGTAGGACGCCTTGATGCACAGCATAATGAATGCCTTTGCTTTCCTCACCCTCCCAGCTTGGACTCTCCCATCTGTTTTGGCAGTGAACCCCACTCCCCTACACCCTTCTTAACAACCAATGGATGGACCCCTGGGCCAGACCTCTGATGTAAGTCTTTGCAGGTCCCTGCCTGATGATACAGAATTCCGCCAATTGTGTGGTACAGGCCCTAAAGGACTGACTGTTGCCCTCTCCGCATACTCCAATAGGACAAATCCATTGATGATAATCATTCCAAAGCTGACATCTGACTGTGGCCAAGCTCCTGAACTGTATACAGACTGTGCCCATGTCTGATGGTACCAGGACCCCAGACCAACAGTGGCCCCTCCCTGTTCAACTGAGCACCAGCCCCACCTCTATGTCCCACTATGCTCTCCTCCCTCCCCCCCCACCTTCCCCCACACTGGACAGATCTGTAAAAACAAGCAGCCTTTCTGTGTGTCTTCACAAAAGACCACATCAATATGGCATTACTGACAGCCTTTAGCTGTTGCTGAATTGACAATGTATGGCAAGGCAAAGTATGGATGCTGTAGGCATGCAGGTTGGCACTGAATGAGTGAATGCTAAGAGGAAAAGCAAGCAGCTCTGAAATGCAGCCTGATCCAATCCTTTAGCTGGGTGCCTGATGTGCATGCAAAGGTTCATCACAACAGCTAGGCCCGAAACGTCAGCCTTTCTGCTCCTATGATGCTGCTTGTCCTGCTGTGTTCATCCAGCTCTGCACCTTGTTGTCTCGGATTCTCCAGCATCTGCAGTTCCTACTATCTCTGATTCAGCCTTTCATCCTGTTTGCTGTGGCCTAGTCAAATGTAGGTAGTAACCACAAAGGAGCGATCTGAATCTCAAGACTATTGGAAGCTGTAGTTTATCAGGGAAGCATTTGCAGAACTGTATGACATGTTACAGGAGGGTGTACAGCCTATTTCCGGGGCAGGTATAGGGCTGTCAGTCAAGCCTGCAAGCCTGTGTTTCGATTCTGTCCATTTCAAGGGACCCAATGAGAGATTAGTACCGTCAATGAACTGGCAGAGTGTTGCTATAAAGAACAATACCTGTTTCCTTGGTTTCTAGAGCGACCATCCACAAAGCATTCTCCACACAGAGTGTAATAGGAGATAGACCTTCTTGTTTAAAAGAACTGCAGAATTCTCGTACAGTACAGATTGACCTTGGCATTCATAAAGCTCGATGAACACTCACCGCCGGTCAAATTGTGAAGCCTTTTACACTGACTTGATGCATTCATTTTACAACAGTTTAAGCATTTGCTTATGATCTGTATACAGCGTCACTGCACCCCAAGCAGGCATAGAGTAAGAGACTAAATCTTAATACCCAAAAATAGGCAGTTTGGGGGTCAGTGAGATATTAAAACGATAACAAATACATAGACAGACACAATTTGTTGCCATGTTGAACACAGGCAGTATGGGGAAGGGGCTGTCTACCTGCACTCAGGAAATGGGTTGGCCGTTAAATGTTTTACTGAGGCTGATAGCCTCTGGCTTAACACACGTCCCAAACCTTTGGAACCTGGCAACTGAAATATCTTTACAGAAAAGGTAAATGCTTTGCCCTGCAATTCTGCAACCCTCCCATCCTATCCCCAGCACACCAGCTGTGTTGCATATTCCTTCCCCTCTCAGTGGAGCTTTTCAGTGCATTTCTCACAGTTGGAGCTTGTATAATGGTGAGAGACTCCTGAGATGGAGATGTTTGTTGTTGTCACTGAGACAAGCCTACCTAGGCTGCTGCTCTACCTCCAGGATGAGGCCTTGCCCAAGTTCTGACCCCGGTGAAGTTGTTGGAGGACAAATGGTGCATGTGTTGTCACAGGGAGAAAAGCTCTTGCCTCCTGATCCTGGAATCTATGTCACTGACTCACGGAATTGGGAGTAAGTAGAACATGTGGCTCCAGTCGTCTTATGGAACTCCCCATAATAACTTACTCCACTTCAAAAGCCATCCCTTCAGGGGATACTGTGACATTGCAGTCCACAGTCAATTTGACAGCAAGGGGGTTACTGTTCACGATAGATGTCAGAAATGTCTTCATGGCGAACCTTTTATTGTTTGTTTTGCCATTATGTCAACGAAAGCCCTGATTTACATTTGCTGAGCACAGCTTTAATGGACCCTCTCTATCTGCTCAAAAACAAAACCCATAAATGATTTGATGAACAAAATGATTTTTTAAAGAGGAAACTTATGGTTGATTTCTTAAAAATAACCATAGTACATAACCATAATAGGGGGAACCAATGGCCTAGTGGTATTATCACTGGATTGTTAATCCAGAGACTCAGATAATATTCTGGGGACCGGGGTTCAAATCCCACCATGGCAGTTGGTGGAATTTGAATTCTATAAAGAAAAATCTAGAATTAAGAATCTAATTGTTGATTGTTGGAAAAACCCATCTAGTTCACTAGTGGCCTTTAGGGAAGAGAACTGCCATCCTTACCTGGTCTGGCCCACATTTGACTCCAGACCCACAACAATGTGGTTGACTCTTAATCAAGAGTCCCTCTGGGCAACCAGGAATGGGCAATAAATGCTACCGAATCAGTGACACCTCATCCCATGAATGAATGAAGAAAAGAAAGCATTGTTTGTTGCATTGCACAACTTTTGAACAATTAAAAATACTGATTTCTGAGGGTAGGGTGTTCCACAGGGATCGGCGCTGGATCAACTTTTGTTTGTCATTTACATAAAATGATTTTGATGAAAATATAGAAGGCATGTTTAGTAAGTTTGCAGATGACACCAAAATTGGTGGTATAGTGGACAGTGAAGAAGGTTTCTAAAGTTACAAAGAGCTCTTGATCATTGGGTCAACGGGCTGAGGAGTGGCAGACAGAGTTTAATATGAATAAATGTGAGGTATTGCATTTTAGCAAAATAAACAAGGGCAGAACTTATACAATTAATAAGGCTCTGGGTAGTGTTGTAGAACAGAGAGATCTAGGGGTTCACATACATAATTCTTTGAAATTTGTGTTGCAGGTAGACAGGGTAGTTAAGAAGGCATTTAGCACGCTTGCCTTCATTGCTCAGATAGGAGTTGGAACGTCATGCTGAGGTTGTACAGGTCATTGGTGAGGCCTCTTCTGGGGTACTGTTTGCTATTCTCGTCACCGTGTTATAGGAAGGATATTATTAAATTGGAGAGGGTTCAGAAAAGACATTGCTGGGAATGGAGGGTTTGAGATATAAAAATGGAGAGGCTGGGACTTAGTTTCACTGAAGTGTAGGAGGTTGAGGGGTGACCTTATTGAGGCTTATAAAATCACGAGGGACATAGACAAGGTGAATGGCAAGGGTCTTTTCCCTAGGGTAGGGGGGTTGAAAACTAGGGGGTCTTTTTTTAAGTTGAAATGAAAAAGATTTAAAAAGGACACAAGGGGCAACTTATTGTTACATTGAGTGGTGGGTGTGTGGAATAAACAGCAAGATAAAGTGGTGGATGCAGGTACAGTTGCGTTTAAAAGACACTTGGTTAAGTTCATGAAGAAGAAAGGTTTGGAGGGATATTGGCCAAGCACAGGCAGGTGGGACCTGTTTAGTTTGGGAACATGGTTGGCTTGGACAAGTTGGACTATTATTGAAGGAAATAAGGATTGATTGTGGAGTAATATGCAGGTCCTGTAATTAGAACTTTTGGATTATGACAATGATCATTTTAATACCTTCATCTTTTGTTTGAATTATTTCTCAGGGATACTGCAGGCCAGGAACGATATCAGACTATCACAAAGCAGTACTACCGACGTGCCCAGGTGAGCTTCACATTACAGTCTGCCATGTTTGGGAAAGCAAATAAGGCCAGATGACACAATTGAGTTCAAAACAAATTGAAATAGAAAGCAAGGAAGCTTCTTGTAATGGTTTAGCAGTTGAATTGGTTGATAGATCTGCCGTAACCGTTACAAGTTATTTTTATTTCTGACTGTGCTTTCATCACCTAAAATAAATGGTGTGACATTGACCATGCAAACCATTAGGGTTTGTCCCTGCTGACTTTTAATCGTGGCTGCAGTTGACGGTGATTGAATTAGCCTTGTGATCATGGCTAGGAAGAGGAAAATTACAGTGGAGGTTTTGCTTTTTGTCACAACCCAGTGATTGCACCTTGAAAGTGATAGTGAAGGGGTCAGGTGATGATTGAATGCGGTATTGTCCATTGTCAGTATACACAGATTTAAGAGTCCATTTTAACCTGCCTAACAAGAACAGCGGGGAGGGGTGAAGATCAGGCCAAGTTCACTTATCAGCCCGACATCAAGCTGAGTGCTACCTTAACTTTGCCAACTTTGAAGTAGGTTAAGGCCCTCACTACAGGAGTTGACTCCCCCTTAAAAGCAGGATGACTGGCAGTGTCTGGGCAAAGATATAAATAATGGCCTTTTAACTGTAAGAAGCAAAGGAGTAGATCATCAACACTATTTGTCAATACGGAATGAAAATCTTAAAAAAACTAACAAGGTTTTTATTATACAGTGGGTGAATTTACTTCCTTGTAGTTCTGAGTCATGCAGATGAGGCACTTACCTGCTATGTTCCCTCTATGGCGTAAGACAAGAGTGAGCTGGTCAATAACTTTAAGGAACACAAAAGTGATCCAGTAATTTTGATTAAATTCCATGGTGATTGCTGCCATATTTGTGTGGTGTTTTGTTGCTATCATCTCCCACTGTCAGTTGTCTGGTGAAAAGTACATGTGAAGAATGGCCACTTGGAGTTGCTGTCTGGTTAAATAGACTTTAAAATCTGCAGCAGTTGCAACAGCCCACAGTTTGTAAGTTGCTTTAATTAGCTAGTTTTACTTTTTCAGCACTTGCTAAGTGAGGGCAATCCACTTTGCTAAGATGTATTATGGTTAAGGCATGATTACTAGCATAAGTTTAAACCATTTTCCACTAACTTACGTACTAAATAGGATTTATTGATTTTTATTTCCAGGGAATTTTTCTGGTATATGATATTACAAGTGAACGCTCCTTTCAGCATATTATTAAATGGGCCAGCGATGTTGATGAGGTAAGAGAGAAAGTGATTCTGCAGAATCTTATCTCTGAATAAACATTAAGACTGTAAGAAAAGCATTGTCCATGTTAATCAATTACAGTACTCACATTTTGTTTCTTTATCACCCTTCCTATCCCAAGTATGCTCCTGAAGGTGTTCAGAAAATTCTCATAGCCAACAAAGCTGATGAGGAACAGAAAAGGCAAGTGAGTGCAGAACAAGGTCAAAAAGTAAGTAGTTGCTGTCATTTATGTTCTATTCTATTACATTCCATATGTGCTATGCTCAAAGACATGTCCTTTAGCTGATTTTTCATTCCAAACCATTTCTCTTAACGAAGAAATGAAAGAACTGCAGATGCTGGAAATCAGAAACAAAAACAGAAATTGCTGTAAAAACTCAGCAGCTCAGAACTGTTCTGAAGAGGGGTCACTGGATCCGAAATGTTAGCTCCACTTTTTCTAGATGCTGCCAGACCTGCGGAATTTTTCAGCAGTTTCTGCTTTTTGTTTCATTTTTCTTGGCTGTTTGCTGTCACCAGTAGTTTGCCTTTCTGTCTGTGGGACAAGGTCAGAAGGTAAGTCCCACATCTGCTTCAGCTGGAACTGGAATTAAACTCTGAACCGCACGCTAGCAATCTAATCAATGTGCTAACTGGCCCCTATTATCCATAAAGCAGAGGTTAAAATGATAGCTGATATATTTTCATTCTTTGTTCTTGGTGATATTGCCATTTCTAGGGGAGGAACAAGTCGAACATAAAATCAAAAGTACTCTAGAGGCAGATTAAATGCTACTGGACTCATTATTTAAAGACACGACACAATAAATTCCAACAAATATTGGGATTCCTAACCTGATTTCTTCATCAGTGTGTGTGTAGCATAGTATCATCTTTGTTAGGTTAGGGTATCCAGGGTTATAAAGCTATTGTGTTTAAATAGAGTTGGAGTACAGACCCAACCTGCTCTGATTTGAACAGTACAGCAGGCACAAAGGGCAGCATGACATTTTAAATTAAGAACGTGCTGGGTAACTTAGGAATCAGTATCCTTATCTTAATCCTAATCTTGATATCATATTCATCATTTAAACTATTAAAATTTCTATTAACATTTCCTTCCACAGCTTGCAAAAGAATATGGAATGGACTTCTTCGAAACAAGTGCCTGCACCAATTATAACATTAAAGAGGTCAGTGCAAACATTACAATCACAGAACTGTAAATATTTAGAGCACCGAGAGAGGCAATTTGGCATATTATATCTTTTCCCACGGCTTCCCAGTGTAATCTAAAATTAATCTCACTGCACTACTTGCTTCCCAAGTCTCTGTAACGATGCATCAGCCTCAACCTGTAGGAAAGCAACGATAACATAAAGAAATTTGTCCTAATCTTCTTATCACCTGAGTGACTATTTTAAATTTACTCACAGTCACTGCCAAACTTTTTTTTTGCTTCTGATTTCATAGGATGTAAATGTCCATTTATTGTCCTACAATAATTAAGAGTCAACTACAAATGCTGTGGGTTTAGAGTCACTTGTCAGCCAGACCAGGTCAGGAGCGCAGCTTTCCTTCCCCATGGGACAGTAGTGAACCAGATGGGTTTTTACAACAAATGGGAGATTTTTATTGAATTCAAATTCCACCATTTGCCATGGTGGGATTCAAACACAGGTCCCCAGAATACTGACCTGTGAAATTGCCACTGCGCCATCACCATCCCTTAAAACACAAAGTAAATTTAGAACTTACTATTTTAAAACTCTGCTTTGCCTTCTCTTAACTGATATATGTAGATCCAGGATTTTTATTTCTCCTGATAAGATAACATGTGGTTTGGGTGATTTATTAGCTTGGATAGACGATTGGCTAGCCAACAGAAAGCAGAGAGTCGGGTTAAATGGGTCTTTTTCTGATTGGCAACGATGAAGAGAGATGAAGCAGTTTAGGGCTATAGAGGTTAGAAGAATGAGGGGAGATCTAATTGAGCAATATAAGATGCTAAAGGGGATTGACACAGTAGATGTAGAAGGAGAAATAACTCCAGAGAGGCCGGCATCCCATCACCAAGTCATCCTTTATTTACACGCGCATAGTACTTGACACTGGTCTGGCTTCCTCAGAGCCAGCTCTCAGTGAGCAGAACCTCTGATGCTACTGTTTATTTCTGTCAGCCAGGGCTCCATGATTGGATCAAGTTAATAGCCCCAATCAAGGAACTCACATTGTGAGGTCCACTTGGCTGACTTCATTATAATCTCTACAGAAAGGATGTTTCCTCAAGTAGGGCAATCTAGAACAAGAGATCATAGATTTCAGAGAAGGGGTACAGATTTAATCAGAGGTGATGAGAAATTACTTCTCTCAAAGGTTCATGCATCTGTAGAATTCACTACCCCAGAGTGCAATGGATGCTGGGACGTAGAGTAAATTTAAGGAGGAGTTGGATAAATGTTCAATTCGGAATAAACTGAAGGGTTATAGACAGCAGATATGAAAATGGAATTGAAGCCAAGATGAGATCCACCATGGTTATATCAAATGGTGGAGCAGCCTCGATGGACTGAATTTCTGAACCTTGCTTGTAGTGTTTATATTCTTTGTAATTAGAATTTCCCAGCCCTGGTATTATTGTTGACTCTGAACACTGAAAATCTAAACTTAATTGTAAATATTGAATGTAAAATATGAATATTGTGTATTTTAATGTATTAACTAAGCTATCCATTAGTCATATTGATCATAAGACTGTTTCTAAAGGAAAATATATTACAACACCATTTACAGAATCAGACCACTTATAATAGAGCCAAACATGTGTAAAACATCAAAGGAGACCATGTGGCACTTCTTGGTTATGCCAGGGCTTTGTAAGCCATTGGTCAAGTTATCAACTAGGCTTCATGTACAGCAAGTAAGATGCCTATTATTTAATTCCCAGTTGAAACCAATCTAAATTCACATAACAATTCATTTTATACATTGATCTTATCTTTCAATAAAATCAATCAAGTAACTTAGTACACGTAAATGTAAGTTTTTTTTCAAGAATAAATATTGCTTCAACAGAAAATTTTTTCCTCCCTCTTATCCCTTAAATATTGTAATGTAAAAATATATATACATATGTATGTCCAGATAAAAAAGCTGAGGTTGATTTGTTGCATTTGTAATCTTGTGGTATTTTGGCATGTTCTTATTCCACAGTCATTTACTAAACTGACAGAACTAGTGTTACAGGCCCATAAGAAGGAGTTAGATGGGCTTCGACTATCAACCCCTGATGAACTTAGTATCGCTGATTTAGAGGAGGATGACAGCAAAATCGAAGGGATGAATAACTCACAGAAAGCTTGCTGGTGCTAGAAATGGAGCCAAACAAAATCCAGTTCAGCGGTCTGAATCATGCCTCAAGACCTAGTTGCCTGCTGTTATGTTGTGCCGCCTTAAATATTCACACAAATCTTGCTTCTCTCTTGAGTTGGACTAATCCTTCCAGTTGATACAAATAGGTGTTGTATTTTTGTCCCAGCTCTGTGGCTCAACCATTTCTTGGACTAGGCTTGTGTGCTGTGCATTTTGTACAGTTACTGTGCTGTGATTCGTGTTCAGGTGCTCAACTGATGGTTCAGTCACCCAGTTTCTACATGACTGCAGTTTCAGTATTTGTTTTCTATTTGGACAGCCCTTTCCAGATACTGTGTGACACCGTTGTTTTCACAATTAGTTGCCTACCATTACAATTGCCTGGACTTCCCCTTTTTGTGTAATTAATAACTAGTTTCTTCCATATGCTTTTAATATATTTTTAGCCAAGCTCAATAAAAGTACCCTTTTTGTCATGTTGCTGCCCAGTTAAGAATTTTTGAACCCAGCATGATTACTTACATCTTGGTCTATTTAGAAATTCAACTTAAGCTTGAGGTTATGGCTTCTGGAACAGAACAATGTTATTGTGGACACTGTCAAAAAGTGATTTTGTCAATTTCGATTTTTTAATATCTTGAAACACTGTTGTGAAATAAGCATTATCTCTCTTGCATATTCTAAGACTTACACTGCCCTGCTAGGTTAATGATCTGAATGATATTTTTGACTGATTTGACGTAATAGTTATAAAGTTGGGTTCAGTTGTGCTTTTACTTTTGTCATTTGCTCCACAAATATCCAGCACTCATTAAATTGGTAGATGATTGTTGCTCAAAGTAAGTAATGACTGATACACCTTTCTCTCATTTATCACAATTGACCATGCCAGAAACAGAAAATTAAATTATTTTCTATGGGACAAACTATATAACTAAACCAGTATTCCATCCAAATTCCATTTCATTGACAGTTTCACTTTACAGTTCTTATGAAATTAATGATTTTTTTTTGCACTTCAACATTTTGAATACTGAAGAATTGCTATGAAAATTAATAATTAGAATAGTCAAGGATGAATATTCTGTGCATTGAGTTCTCTAATTATAATTGTTTGTGAATTCCTTTTTAATATTGGCATCACAAACTTCCAGATGTAAAATGCCTTTTGCAGCAATGTGACAGAGTTTGGATACATTTTCCATGGAAATAGATTGGTGTTGCAAAGAAAACAGGAAGAATTCCTATCAAATACTCATGAATACTCAGAAATTGCATGTTTGAATGATTAGTGCAGCATCATTTGGCTAAGAACCCAATATTTCTGAAGAAAATGAGGCATTACCCTGTTTCAGTTAAATTAGGATTTGGCTACCTCAGTGATATAGTATTGCAGTGTGGCGATGTTAATATTTCTTCATAACTGCGAATACTGTTGTTCAGTTCACAGCCTGTATCGATTGCTTTCCTCTCTGTGGTAGAATGCAACATTCATGATAAAGGTTGAAGCAATTATGTAATTTACTGAGATTTGGCTGTTTGTTTGAACCTGATGTTTTGAATATTTGTGCTTTTAGCTTTTTTCCTCTTGTAATCAAAGATTCTATGAAACATAACAACTGCCCAATGTACTTCACTCTGCCTGGAAGAGTCAAATGAGAGTGATATACTGAGTTAAAGCATCTTAATTTTCATAATTACTGTATTTGTGAAGGAAAACGTACAAGTTGATTTTAATTAATTATAATTGCTATTGAAAAAAAAATGATTCTATTCACAGATGTCTACAAATAAATTTCATCAAGGGTTTAATTGTGTTAATATGTCAATATACCAGAATATTTGACTTAATACCACAACAGTTTTCAATCTTACTCTATCTATGAAAGCATCGTGCCATCTGTGCTGTGTACATGAATTGTTTATTGAAATGCTCATTGTTAGAGGTCTTACTGAAAAGTGAAGTGCTCTGAAATATTTGTGTGTCTATTGACGTTTGTACGCCAAGTTATACTATCATTTTGTCTATGTATTTCCTCAGTTGCATAAAACATTTAATTATCGGCTTGTGCTAAATGTCTTGAAACCTTAAGACTCATTCTAGGAGTTTCCTAATGATCTTTCTCTGTTTCAACATTTGGTTAATTTGATATTATGCACATTACATTCCTGTGCAGAAAACTGAACTGTTGCATTGTGCAAGACAGGGTGTCCCCTAAAAATTGCACTTATAAATAAGGTGTTTGGCTACTTCCAAGTATGATAATTTCAGTAAAATTTCTAGCGGTGAGTGTATGAATGAGAGATGTAACATCTAATTATTGAGCCATAGAATACAAAATGCAGACATTTTGCTGAACCACTATAAAGCTTCAGTTCAGCCCAGTTGAATGTTGTATCTGATTCTTCCATGGGAAAGATGTTAAAGACTTT